GCTATACCAGCAAATCATTTGCCATGTAGACAAGCCTTTAGCTATGGTGTGGTCCCAAAATGTATATCTGTCAGGGTGAATTGATTTAAATAATCAATTGAAATCCTAATTTAAATTAGCAAATAGGAAGTCTTGATTTAAATTATCTATTGTAATCTTAACTTTGCATTTGTACTTTTTAGTTATTTTCCTAAAGTAAATTGGTTGGTACCATTTGGCATTACTTTTTGCTAATCAGGAGGATAAGCTACTATATTCATACAAATTTAAGCACATATATAGCTTAATATGCATTTATTCAGATTCTTAATTTTTACATTTTTCATTTTAGAAAATGGCAAAAGATGCATTTCTTATTTACTAGATTGACTTTTTTTTTTACTTGTGATTTGTGTCCAACTGCATTTGGAAATTGGAATTCGATTAAATGCACAAAAACATAATTTTAAAATTGATTTAATAACTAAAACTACCTTAAATGTGCTGGTTACATAAATTTTTTTATCAAAACATGTTTTTCATTTAAAACTAATTTACTAAACAAAGGAAATATCTGTAGTTGGTGAATTTAATTTTCTGATCATCTTGTCCTTCAAGATTTTAGAACTAGTAGATCTCATTCTTTCACACTTTGTTTTTCCTCATAGATTAGAAGTAGAAAATAGGTTTTCCTCCTTTTTCACCTCTCAATAGGTTTCTCAACTTTGAGTGAACTAGTAATTGAACTGAACTAGTTGAATAAACTAAAATGAAGAAAATATTCTCTCTGCACTTGCAGAAGAAGCTACTGCTGTTCAAAGTTGCTTTAGCACTTCAGAAACTCTGGTTCCAGATGATTAACCAGTGAATTCCATAAGTTTAGTGGATTGACTTTCTTAAAATATTGGCAGCAAATATGAACTGCTTGAATATTATTTTTTTTATTTACTATACTTTTAAAAATCTGTTTTTATCCACCCTGATATCTCTGCAGGACTCTGTGGGGAGGCTAAAGTACTATCAAGTATTCTGAGTAAAGTAATGTCTTTCTATCAGAACTGAATTGTCAGCTGGTATCGGATTGTTCAGGCCTGGATTTTGTTTGTTCTGTTCAATTTCTGCCATAAACAACTGGTTCCATTGTATGTGTTTTCCAGTCAAGTGAGACCAGTCTCTCAATTACTGAACTTACTGCATGATCTGTTATAAAAGTGGGTAATAGAAAAACAAGTTTCCTGTTTCTGCTGGGCATATTTACCTCTGTTGTAATATATTTCTTCTGAATACAGTTAAATTCAGTTGATGAAGGGGATTATTACAGCTTTCAGAAAGAACTTCATATATCGTAATATAGAAATGGCGAGGTTAGTTTTAAATGAGATTTCATTGCCCTTCAGTGGGTAGTTCCTTTTTCTGCAGAGATACCAGGGCTTTATCATCTACCTCATACAACCTATGGGCATGAGGAAAATATTTTTCTACTGATAACTCTACCTACTTATTTTCCTCAAAGATTGGATTTGCAAGGCTAGATTTAAAAAAATTTCACATGTAGAAAGGTCAGTATAAAAAGTACTTTCACTGTAGCAATAGATTTCTTGAAAATGTACTGTTTCTTAAAGTTATATGGTCTACAAACCCGGGTCCGGCTTCTGCAAAGACTTACGTATGTGCTTTACTTCACACACTTCAAGTAGCTCCACTGAAAACAATGGGACTGCTTTCAGTGCATAAAGTTAAACTCATATGTAAGCCTTAGCAGTATCATGGCCCAGGTTTCGTTTCCACCAGATTTGCAACAGATTATCAGATTGCAGATATTGTCGCAAGATGTCATAAATAATCTGATTTATGTCTCATCTGAGAAAGATGGGTGGAGCATAAAAGTAATGAAAACAAACATGAAGGAATGAAAAACACAATTTACAAAAGTGTAATTTTTTTTAAGAGTTCTGAATATAAGTGACACTTGAGTTAGGGGCTATCCTCCTGTTAGGAACTTCCAGAATGCTATATTATTAGATCCATTTCATAAATGAATTCTTGTTGCTCTGAAACCTAAAGAGCTTTTTTTTTTTTTAACTGCACATATTCAAAAAAACCTCCTCCGCGCTGATTAGGCCTCAGCTGGAGTATTGTGTCCAGTTCTGGGTGCCACATTTCAGGAAAGATGCAGACAAACTGGAGAAAATTCAGAGAAGAGCAACAAAAATGATTAAAGGTCTAGAAAACATGACCACTGAGAGAAGATTGAAAAAATTGTGTTTGTTTAGTCAGGAGATGAGATGACTGAGAGGGGACATAAGTTTTCAAATATATAAAAGATTGTTAGAAGGAGGGGAAAAAATTATTCTCCTTAACCGCTGAGGATAAGACAAGAAGCAATGGGCTTAAATTACAGCAAGGCCGGCTTAGGTTGGACATTATGAAGAACTTCCTAACTGTCAGGGTGGGTACGCACTGGAACAACTTGGCTAGGGAAGGTTGTGCCATCTCCATCACTGGAGATTTTTAAGAGCCGATTAGACAAACACAATGGTCTAGAGCAGCAGTTCTCAATCAGGAGTGAGTCCGCGAGCGCTTCAGGGAGGCCACGGAGCCTCGCTGATGCCGGGAGCCTCTGTGTCTCCTACGGGGCTGAAGCTGGTGGCCCCACCCCCCAACGCCAGGAGTGGCACAGGGCTGAAGCTGGCGCCCCCCCCTGAAGCCAGGAGCCCCAGCACCCACCCCCACACACAACACACACTCCGCTGGGGCCGGTGCTCCCCACGGGCAGAATCCCTGAGCCCATGGGCAGAGTTGGGGGTGGGGCACAAGGATGTTGCCCCACCAAACTGCAGTCCATTACCCAGAGTGGGGCAGTCCAGGGACAGCTCTACACCCCTTCCCCCACCACCTCCTCTCCCCCAGGCCTCCTCAGGCCCAGCCCTCTGGCCAGGTTGTAGGTGGGAAGCCAGAACCAGGCAGTGCAGAGCAGCTAATCCTCTGGCTGGTGGTGCCATGGAGCGGGCAGCCGTGGCATTCCCCCGTCTGCTGCTGGTGCCCAAGGTTGCAGTCCGCTCCCAGCCCCCTTTGACTGCTCATGCAGCCAATAAGAGCCACTCAGATAGGGGAACCAGGCTCTGGGGCCAGCAGAGCCCTTGGGGAGCAGCCACCACAGCGGGAGCCCTTCTGGCACACAGCCCCTTGCTGTCCTTCTCCATGCACCCTAAGCTACCCCCCTGCCTGCACACAGCCTGCACACAACTCCTGGCTGCACCCTGAGCTCCCTCCCTGCCTGCACCCAGCCCCTAGCTACCCCCTTGCCCCCACCCTGAGCTACCCCCCTGCCCGCACACAGCCCCTAGCTACCCCCCTGGCTGCACCCTGAGCTACCCCCCTGCCCGCACATACCCCCTAGCTACCTCCTGCCTGCACACAACCGCTGGCTTCACCCTGAGCTACCCCCCTGCCCACACACAGCCCCTAGCTACCCCCCTGCCCGCACACAGCCCCTAGCTACCCCCTGACCGCACACAGCCCCTGCCTGCACCCTGAGCTACCCCCCTGCCCACGCACAGCCCCTAGCTACCCTCTGCCTGTACCCTGAGTGGTTTTCAAACTTTTTGAGCTGAGTCCCCACTTTGTTATATTTTTTGGTTGCATCCCCCCACAACCCAAACAAGTGGGTGGCCTTCTAAGTGAGCCAGGGGGTGGAGGTAGCGCTCCCTGGACCCTGCTGTGTGCAAGTGTCTTCCTAGTTTGCTCAGAGAAGTATTGTGAATTCATGCATAATGATCAGATTTGCACATGCAAATGGGCAGTTGTGTTTAGCTGGGCTTTTGCATATGAGCATGCAATTCATTTGAGTTGCCAAAATTGTGTGAGAGAGAGAGAGTGAGTGGCGTGGGGGATATAAAGTAACAAAATACTTATTAGATACTAAGAGCAACAGTCAAAAAGACATAGCTTCTTGTGTTCTTTTAATTATATAGGTATTTACCATAAATTCTTATATGAAATACAGATCTGTTTGTACTTTCTTTGTTACTAAGCTACTGTATTTTAAATACAATAGACATTAAGTTTTTTCTAAGTCAGGAAGAATTGATGGTGATAGCTTTTAATTAAGTTTTAATATCTTCTTATAGCAAGCATTTTGTATATCCAATATAAAAATCTAAATGATATTACAATTTTATCAGCTTTTGGTAAATACTGTTTCAGACTAGTATTTTGGTTGTACAAAAGTTAATGAGGAATGCAAACTGGTGATCCATATTAAACCCAATTCCAAAAATTCTTGTGACTTTCTATTATTTGTATAAAGAAATATGTTTAGATAAGTAGAAAAATGTTAAACTCCATGTCTAGCACTTGAGTTTCTGAAATTGTAAGTACAGTCGTACTTCACTTCTAGGGACACAATCAACTTAAAATCTAGTCAGTTTTAAAAAAATGAATTAAGTAGTTTCATCCCTCTCTCATCCTTTTGTACTTTTACAATTGCATCTTCCCATTTAAAAAAAAAAATGTTTTTCTCTGTTACTGAGTCAAAAAATTCACAGGTGCAATAGGGAAATTTTCTAACTGAAGAAAAACACGAAACTCCCTGTACACAAAATGCTACCAGGTTCAGAACTGAACGGACATAGTTCTCTAATCTTTGTTAGATTAATCTTAGATTTTACTTACATTAATAGTAGTTAAAAATATGCAGACTGTCAACTTAAAAGTCTTGTATGGTAGGTGTAATTTTTTACTCTGATTTCTTAGTGGTTGACTTTGATTCATCCCATAGCACGGTACAAAGGTTGAATTATACGTTTTTAAAGTCTAATGGCTCAAGCACGAAATATTAGATTCATGAGCTGATATTGTCATTAATTTAACTAATGTCCAGACATGGAATTCTTTAGAAAAATAAATGTAACTTGAATTCTGTTTTCCTCGTGCATAGAAAGAGAGTGATTTCCTGGGGTTTAAATATATTACTATCTGTGAATCATCTGTTTGATTTATTAAACCTTTTTTCATTCTAGGTCAGAGATACAAATGTACCTACTTACCGAGACTGCAATAAAAATCCTCCATTCCCCACATTTTTTGCTGATGGAGAAGAAGAGCTACCAGAAGACTTGTACGATCAGGAAGTTTTCCAGTTCACTGATCCCTCTGTCACATATGTTTAGTGTTATTGACATCTTTAAGAACGTGCAACTTTCACATTATTTCTGTGAACTTTGCAATGCTGAACAATTACAAACCCAGAAACTGCATGACCTGAACGCATCAAACATTGTGGGGGTTTTTTTCAGGTAGCAAGATTTACCACAATCTGTTCCAAAACCGTATTAAAACAGTGGGTGGTGGTAAGTTGAGGGAAGGGTTTCAAAGTAATGGGTATATTGCTGACTTATCTTTTTACATTACAAAATTGCTTCTTGTAACTTTTTCCCTTTCACAGACTGCCAAGATTTATATTTCTTTAAATCCATTGTCGTGGAATTGCGTGCATCAGTTACGTGATTGATGAAGTTGAGACTATTAACAGAACAAAATTTATAGTAGTTTTTTCCCCTGAGGGATATGTACTGATTAACTTGGACTAAACAGAAAATAAAAGGTTTATTAAATATCCTATTTAGCCATCTGGGGACATAAATGGAGTGTCTAGGACTTTACAAAGAATGAACTTGAACATGTTGAGTAGAATAGGGCAGGAGAGGGAGGGGGGGAAGAATTCTAGCTCTCTGTTTTCCAGGCCTAACACCATAGGCAATTGCCCCATTGTGCCTCTGGGGCTATAATCTTTTCCACCTTTCATTTCCCTTTCCTTATCAAAGCTCCTTTCCTCTTTATTTTAGTGCTCTGAGTTTAGAGCAACAGTTACACAATTTACATTTCCTAGAGGAAAGAATGAGACTAGTAATGTCTGTCTGGTAAGAGTTGTGGCAGTGCTCGCTGGCTAGAAAGGCTAGACATTTTCAGTAATGTGGACACAGGGACTATAGTAGCTGTCTGTTTGTCCCCTTCATTGGCTCCTTGTTCTGATACCTTATGTGAGGGACAGTTTCATGAAGTTATCTAGAGAAATACATCCCCTTCAGTTGTCTTCATATCTGAGATTTTATATTGTTATGGAAGAGCTTTGGGCCTGCCCTAGTCGTCTTCGTCATTTAACAAAAATGAGCCAAGTGTGAAGGGTCTATTGTACAATTAATTTCTCCCTATCACTCCTATCTTCTACCCAGGCATTCTTTTATAATGGTCAAAGTGCAAGTACTCTCCGTTTGGCTTTCTCTACCTTCCATAAGTTATTTACTGTTTATAGGCCTGATCCTTTAAACCATTACTTTACTTGCATGAACATTTCCTTTGAAGTCCATAGGACTAATCACAAGCGTAAAATTAAATATGTGCCTATCTGTTTGCTGAATTGGCACCTAATTGCCTACCAAGTGCTTTGTACAGTAAAAGATTTGCATTCACATGTAATGTTGGGGAGGAGGGCATCCCTAGGCAAAGTCCCATTTTATGTCTACAGTTCCTGTAATGGTTGTCAGGAAATCCATCCATTAATTTTGTGCAGCTTCACTACAAAAGTTGATGTACTTTAAAATGTATTTTATATTTTACTAAATGATTTACCGAAACCTTGAGAACAAATATGTATGCCCATCCCAGAGGTGAGGTCCCATCACATTTAAAAGCAATATTCATGGAGTTATCTCAGTTTATCCCTGTAGTTTACTGAAGGTATTTTGAATTTGTTATACTGTATCCAAGAGATTAGAACATCTTTTATACACATTAGATATTCACAGGGAACATAATAATTTGGGAGGGATAATGTTGATATACTTAGTGCACACAATACAGAACTGTGAACTGGTAATATCTATGTTGTTGCCACATAGCTTGGTTTAATCTCAGCAAGTATCTCTAATTATAAGTAAATAGGGATACTGCATAATGCTCTCCCTTCACCCCCTTCAAAAATAAAATCAGGTCAGTCACCAGTGCTCATATATCATAAACCAGGGGTCGGCAACCTTTGGCACGCAGCTCGCCAGGGTAAGCACCCTGGCGGGCCGGGCCGGTTTTGTTTATCTGCGGCGTCTGCAGGTTCGGCTGATCGCCGCTCCCACTGGCTGCGGTTTGCCGTCCCAGGCCAATGGAGGCGGCAGGAAGCAGCGGCCAGCACATCCCTCAGCCCGCACCGCTTCCCGCAGCCCCCATTGGCCTGGGATGGCGAACCGCGGCCAGTGGGAGCCACGATCGGCCGAACCTGAGGACACAGCAGGTAAACAAACCAGCCCGGCCCACCAGGGTGCGTACCCTGGCAAACCGCGTGCCAAAGGTTGCCGATCCCTGTCATAAACCTTAGAAGTACATTGCTAAGAAGTTAGCACTAGCCCTTTCCATTATAAGTCATGTATTCCAATTGTTATTTTTAAGTGTCCATGAGAAAGTGGAATGTTGTAATCTGATGCACTGAATGGTCCTACTAATATTTGCAATTTAGCCCCCTGCTGGCAACAGTGATATTGTTTCCTGAGGATAAACCCTTCAGTGTTCGACGTGATGAACCTCAAGAAAATCCGCCAATAAGCGCAGGACCCACCAAGATAGAAGAGGAACTTTGTCACAATAAATTAAAGGAGTATCTGTAAGAGAAGAGCCATTCATGTCTTTTTTTTTTTGCAACTATATTTGCAGTGGTTAATACTGTACAGCTACACCTATAGAGTGAAAATAAAGAAACCAATCAAATCAGTTGCTCCTATACATCTGTTAGTCTATAAGGTGCCACAGGACTCTTTGCTGCCTTTACAGATCCAGACTAACACGGTTACCCCTTTGATACAATCAAATCAAATGTAGTTTAAGATTAATAAACTTTCATAATAAAGAAGGGGAATTTGTCATCTCATCTTTAAGTGTAAAATGATATGCAAGTGGAATGGGGGATCTTATGTCTCTATCTACATTTCATAAAGACTAGATTAATAGATTACAAGGTCAGAAGGGAGCAGTGTGATCAACCAGTTTGACCTCCTGTATAATGCAGGCCGTAGGGACTTCCCTGAATTAAAAGTTCTAGAAGTACAAGTTTTTATAGTGGGGGAAATATATCTTATCTCTTCAAGAGAGTGAGTTGGTTTCAAAGTTAGCAAGTTTAGTTAAGGCAATCAGGGTGAGGAACAAGGAGGACACAGGCAGTTGTGGACTGAAAGTCGACCTATGGTGTGGGTACCCCTGCTGTGAATCGTTTGAAAAGTAAGAAAATGGGGAAATCCACTCCCCAAAAATGGTTTAACTAGGCCAATTAAGCACAAGAAAACTTTAAAGTATACAATGGACTTTGCATATGAGGTGGTGCTGAGGTCCACATATAGGACATCTTGGGAAACAGTTCTGTGAACAGTGTCTCAGTATTATAGCAGTTGTGGGATATCAAAGGAATGTGAAAGGTGCAAGTGACCACAGAATTGAAGAAGGGCCATGAGGACCCTGGGACAAAGCAACAAGAAAGTGCTTGTGAGCTGTTGTCTGAGAAAATGACAGGCTGAGAGGACAAAGCTCTGTGATAAAATAAAAAGTGGTGCCATTTATCACCGAACCGTTTCAGTGTATCTAGCTGGCTTATCTTTTCAGCGTGTAAGACGAGCTATGTCATACAAAACCACTACTTTTGTTTGAATGATTTCTTTCTGTTCTTAATAAATCTTGTCTTGGACTGTTCTGGAAAATATTCAGAGAAACTCCCCCCTCCCTTGGGTTCTCACCTAAAAGGACGTGGGCCACGGGGTCCTGTCCCATAAGCTGAGTCAAGTATGGAAATGTTTCTTGATGGATGCTTTGAGAGGCACTGAAGACTTGAGAATCAAGTCAAAGCAGGTACAAGTAAAAAGGGTTTAAAAAAAACAACTAGATCAATAGAAAGTGTGATGGTGACATCTGTGCAGTTAATAATTTGACCAGGAACATAGTAATTTTCATACCTGATCTGACCTGCCATGTTTCATCTAGTGCAGTATCCTGTCTCTGACAGTGGGCTGTTTAAATTGCTCTGTTTTGTGACAAGCTGGTTTTGCTTTCTTTCTGAGTGTGTGTCGGGGGGGTGGGAATCAAACACTTCCCTGGCTCATGCTTATGATACATACAATAGGGAAGATCAAAATACAGCAGCCTAAGGGTGCACCGCATCTTACAGGGGTGAGGAGAAAGCAGCAGAGGGTTAGTCTGTGTGTTGAGGAAGGATAGAACCTAGGAATCCTAATTGTCTCTATGCTCTAAAGCAGTGGTTCTCAAAGTTTTGTACTGGTGACCCCTTTCACATAGCAAGCCTCTGAGTGCAACCTCCCCCCCCCCTATAAATTAAAAACACTTTTTAATATATTTAAATGGAGGCAAAGTGGGGTTTGGGGTGGAGGCTGACAGCTCGCAACCCCCCATGTAATAACCTCGTGACCCCCTGAGGGGTCCCGACCCCCAGTTTGAGAACCCCTGCTCTAAAGGCACTTTCTTTCCTGCTCCCCATCTGTACACTAACTGGGATGATAACTCAGGAATGCTGCCTACAATCCTTCCTTACAGCGCTTGAAACAACGCAGGAGTCCTAGGTGCCATTCCCCTTGTTGTAAGTGCTTGACCACTCTCCCTCCCATAGAGCAAGGTCTCTCTATGCATCAACATCGCCCTCCAACCCTCTGCAGCTTCTTTGCACCTATTTTCAAAAGAGGTATCTCTGACTTGCTTAGCTGTTGCCGAATGAAGAGAGGATTTGCCTCATGCTGCAATGTTCCCTGTGCAACTGTGATAATCTCATGGGGGCAGAATGTTTTATCCACTTTGCTGTATACTCAATTGACACGTGAGTGGCTTGTCAATTTATATTTAAATAATGGATTCTTCTCCGGGGGGAGTAGGTATTAAGGATTTGCTTTACAACTGTAATAGAAAAGTCTGACTAGCACAGTAACACCATCCAAAATAAGCTTGAAAGACCTCAACGTTCCCACTGCAATGGATCAGCAAAAGACAGTTGCTGCTGGTGTTACTTGGGCACAGCGTTCCTTCCTCCTTTCCATAAACACTATGGGCTTGTGTGCATGGGAATGTTAAACTGGATCAAATTGAGTTAATCCTATTTGAAAACACTTGTGTACACGTGGCATATCACATAGCTGTGCATTAACTCCTCGTTTATCAGGAACTCGGGGGTTCTCTTGCAAAGTGGAGGTGGTTTGTTTTGAATTGTATTAGTTTGATCTTTT